GATTTTGTAGTGGAAAGCTCTACTTTATCTCTTACAGCCTCTGGATAAAGATATTTTCCGCTCTCCATTCTTGGAACGAGTGAAAATAGATTGAACGAAGAGAAAAAAATCATTTTGCAAATCAAGACAACTTGGGCTCCTTAATTGATTGTTGGCCATTTGGACTTTGCCCTCTATGTGCGAAAGACGTGATAAAATGCAGGTTGTTTACAGGGTTTTTAAGAGAAAACCAGGATTTAAAAATAAATCGCTTAAATCAAGTTAAATTGGTAAAATAAAGACACCAGGAGCAAACGGCACACGTATGGAATAATGTAAGCCGTTTTTTATTGAATATTTTCACTTTTAACTACCTCCATGGATATCTAGTAGAAAATCCCATACAAATCCTTCAAAATCAGTATGCCATATTGTGTTCCTTGTGTGGTTCATATAGAGAGCTTGGGCTACCTGTGATGAAGAAAGCTTTTTTTGAAATTAGAGAAGCTGATATTCCTTCGTCATCAATGTCCCCAATTGTTCAAAGACCAAATTTGCCTAGATCACCAGGAGCATCTTGAAAGGGCCCCTCGCAAGACAATAAGTGTAATAATTCATTGCAAGCAGATGATTATATCGACGTTCTCCCAGATTCAGAGAGAGGAACGTAAAATCAGAGAGAGATGCTGATGTTCCTTCGTCACCAGTATCTACAACTCCAGGGACCAAATTCACTTAGATCACTAAGGGCTTCTTCAGAAGCGCCCTCTCAAGACATAGAGGGAATGAATCATCGAAAGCAGATGATCATATTGAAGTTTTCCTAGATTCAGAGATTGAAACATAAATGTAAACTTTTTTACATCTACCGAGGGGAGATTCTTATTGGAGGTCAACTGACCGAACGGTCTCCAAGAAAGAGGGCTGCCAAGGGAAATCAGGCTGTGTTTTTATTTTCTGGTGAAGGCAGTGTGTTCGGGTGGTTGGGGCACTGGAGTTGTAATCTGGTGGGTTCCGGCCGGATTTGTTCATGGTTGCCCCGAGTTCAACACACTGGCAGCGCTTTGTATATAGCCAAGTGGAATGTCTCCCTCCAGTTGGGTCTTTTGAGAACACTTAATCTTTGTTTAGCTTCTATTCCCCATATTGAGGATATAGTCAAGTATGTGCATAATTTTAAAACTTAAAAAATAGGAATAGAAAGGAATTGAATCAGTCTCGGTAAAATATCTTGAAATTTCTTGTCTTGAATATCTTGAATATTTTGAATTAGTATAATTGCTCAGGTGATCATAGAGATTCACGCACTCTGATTGGTCAAGGGTTGCGTCCGTTATCTTGCCATAATCATATCGTGCGAGGTGATTATAGCAGGTGCGCTAAGCCTCAAATTGACTGCCTCGCGTTTTGTCAATGTTCCCGAGGAAGTAATAATCACGACAGAACAAAATTAAATGGCAATGACCACAAACGATGCTATTGAGTTTGCGGAATACTTTTCAAAGGAAGGATGTGAGGTTTGTGCTGACAGATTTAAATAAACCTGTTAAAACTGCTCTCTTATCTTGATACAAGTAATCACCACAATTGGGAAAAATATTTCGAATGCTTTATTTATTTACAGAATTTACAGGGTATTTGAAAGCACTTGTACAATTATACTATGACAATTATTCGCCTCAATAAATCCCTCGACCCCGTACGGGGAGATTATTTAACATTATTCACTGAGCCTTCAGAGAATAATATAAACACGTCAAAAATGATACTCACCGTTCGAAAAGCGAAGCGAAAACAATTTTTTCCCGCAGTTTACGAGACCCGTGTAGTAAATTTACCATGCTTGAATTGTTAGCTACTAGAATTTACGACCAGAAAGTTACGTAGAGTTGTGTTGAATATTGTGTTGGCTGCGCGTACATAGAGATTAAACCATATTGTTAAAAACTGGATCATCGGATAATGCAATTCAAGACTTTTTATTGGCTTAGCCATTATGGTATATCAGCCAATATACCATAATCTACAAATATGGTAAGCGTACGCGTCAGCTTAAAATCAAAAGGGAGCTAAGAAATCCAGTTTCTTCTTACAAAATAATAATTTCTTGGGGGCGTTTTTAATAAAACAATTATTCCACTCGCGCTTGTTGGATATGAGATGATTATAGCCAACTCGGCGCTACGCGCC